GTGATTCTGTCTTTTGGCCTAAATAACAGAGCTCAGACGACTAAAGGAACTACCATCAAACAACTACAGAGACCAAAGACAGCAGCAAAATTCATGTTTCCTCACGCAAAATCAGGATACCTGAGAAAACTTTTCCAGGTCTCTCCCTTACAGGGAACAGACTAACATGCTACACCTCAACCAATACATCACAAACAACTGTGAGTACATACCTGAACTGTTAAAAAAGCCTTCAGAGCAGAAGAGGACCATGTAAACTGGTCAGGTCTTACAGCACTGTGAATGTAATAATATTGGTTTGAGGATGTAAACCAGATGTTCCCAAAAGCCTGCCTGTACAGAACAGAATAAAAATGTGACTGTGTTGTCACAAAATACTTCATTTGTCTCAATTTTGTCTACCTAACAATGATTTGAATTTTATTCCCACTGAAGGTTATAATAAAGACATGATGGAATAAAGTATGTGGATGTGATAATCAACAGCATAATAGGAGATTAAAATAAGCATCTTATTACCAATATAAAGATGATTCAAAACCCTCGTCATTCACTCCCACATCAGATTAAATTCCTCTAATGGCAAACTATCGGTTGAGGTTATTTGTAAGTTTGCCATTTTACGCTGTAACACCACCATGTAATTTATCTGCTGTTCAACAAATACTAAAGGCCTAAAGGTCGAACATCTCAAAAGAAAATAAAAAACTGAGACTCTAAAATGTATTGGAATTGAAAATGTGTGGCTCAACCACAGAACCACAGGGGTGGTCTGAAAAAAAGGAGTGACATTGGATTTATAACAACAACAACTAGTTACCTCCACCAATGAGGTTATGTTTTTGCTGGCGTTTGTCTGTTTGTTTGTTTGTTTGCAAAATAACTCAAAAAGTTCTGAACGGATATTGTTGAAATTTTCTGGAAAGGTTGATAATGTCACAAGGAAAAGACGATAAAATTTTAGTGGTGATCGGTTGAAGCGAAGGGGATGAAATAATAAAATGGCGGGAAATCTGAGCTGCTTGACGGAGGTCTGCGCTCTCCGAGTGCTCTAGTTTAGTTTAGTTTAGTTTAGTTTAGTTCAGTTTAGTTTTATTTGCACATAATGTTAAAAACAGACAGTATAAAATTTACAAGACTAAAAAAGAAATGTGCCGGAGAGATTAGAAGCCACTAAAGGCATTTCAAAGAACCTCCCCTCAATTAAATCATACAATAAGGATAAGAAAGATAAAAAAAACCTTTATCTTGCTGGCATGAACGAGGAAAATAGCATGTTTCTTTCTTTGTAAACCTGGTGAATCTTAATAATCATTTTTTCCAGTTTCTATTTTAGTAAAAGTTTTTTGTTGTTGTTGTTTGTTTGTTTGTAGGTTACTGTAATATTATGTTTGCAGGGAATTTTATAAAATTATTCAGAACTATGTTCCACTGAATATCACATGTGGTTTGAATACAACTGAAACATCTTTTGGGTGATACAATTTTCTTTTCCTTGTTCCCACGTTGTTGTTTTTTGTTTGCCAAATACTGGTTTGGTTTGTTGTATGAATTGTGTGAAACCTGAGGTCCACAGTGATAACCATTGCTGTTTTATAAATATGTTTTTTTATTTCTGATTGATAGGTGTTTAGAGTTTCAATATACAGCAATTGAAAGTACATTTACAGTTTATATAGTAATAATGATATTGGGGAGGGCATAGAAACCATAAAATAAACCTATTGGAAATGATTTTGACCAGTTACGATTTTCAATTTAATAGAGAGTTTTTTCTGCAAATCAAATGTACAGCTATGGGCAAGAAATTTGCCTCTGCATATGCTAACATTTGTCATGCCTGGATGGGAAACCTCTGCGGTGGGAGCATGCACAAAGAAGCCTGTACATTATTATAGCTTTCAGGATGATATCTGGTGTGTTTGGACGCATTCATGGGTGATTTTGATACATTCTGAACAACCATAATGCCTCCATCAAGCTTAAATCAACCACCACCTGACTTCTATGGATATTTTGGACACCACCACATTTAAAAGTACAAATATCCATGACACCCACAGATGGGATATTTAAGGATTTTTCAAGGAGACAGACACTCGTGCTCTGCTCCACAAAACATGTTACCACACTGAGCACTCTTATTCTGGGCTGGTTAAATCACAAGTGTTAGGATACCATGGGATTCAAAGAAAGATTTACAGGCCACTAGGGTGTTGTTTTTGTGTTTGACCACTAGAGGGTACTCCAGGTCTCTCCTTAGAAAATGCTTCAAATCCTTTCCGCAGACCAGACCTGTGTTGTACATGAACATTTATTAGAAGTACACACTTTACATCAGCAGTGACACTTGTCTGAATGATTAAAACTGAATTAAATATTTTCACAAGAGTACCAGTGTGTTGCAGGGCCACTGAGTCACTGCAGATTTCAGAGAAAATAGAAATCTGCAAGATGACCCGGTCACAGCTAAAGTCAAACTTCTCTCAAACCCAAAATATGAGGGTCATGGAGAACTTCATTTGAGCTACAGCTCTAAAAATTGTGTCTATCTAATAATAAGTAAACAGTGTGGTTTACAATATGTGGGCTAAACCGGCTACACTGTTTTAGCTAGAATTTTCTAAACACAGATATAGTATTTTTAAATATGACAGATACACACACAGTACATAATTTTTAGGAACATAAATACTTTACATCCTAGTTTGGAATAGTAATGGACTGTGCATTCAAATTGCAATATTACTCAAATTCTTGATTTCCTAAACTTAAGTATGAACAAAAGAAAGATGAGAAAACTGATGCAGACATAGATTAGTACCTGCAATTGAAAGAATGACAATTCCTGAGGAGCCAGCTCTGTTGCTTTTCAGATCTCAACGTCAGAAGACTCAGTGACAGTGGATTGTGGTCAGACCTGTAGAATGAGTTCAACACCATTATGTGGTCACCATACTGGAAATGGTTGACTGAAGTACCAAGCACCACCCATTAGCTGGAGCAAACTCTTCTCATTTTACAGCTAAAGAGTACACTAAAATATGTTTCTGAAAACATTAGGCAATGCAGTTACAGAGTCTTGATTCACAGTAGATCAGTAAGGCCACTGGAAGCACTCCGAGGCAATCGAGTAAACAGGCAAATATGATTTTGTTTCAGAGAAGATGATCATTTTTTTGAGTAACACAATACAGCTTCTAATGGTTAAAGATTATTACAGATAGGCTACATAACTGATTGTTATACAGATAATTACTTACTCAGTAACTGGTGAATTAATATCACATCTGGTTGGGATATGACAAAAACTAAATATTGTTCATAAGTGTACAAACTCTCTAACCCATTATGCATTTTTTTGCCAGTCGAAGTCAAACATGAAGACAACACATACCTTGACATAGCCTCCTGCTCCTTTGAGATTCTTCAGAATTCATTGATTCCCCTCTGTACTCCACCACAAAGTCTTTTAAATATGGGCTTTGGAAAACATGCTTTGACCAGTGCACACAGACACATATACAGTCCTACAGTTACACTGCTGAAAGCTTTACAGTTATGTTTTCATGCATCCCTAGAAGCCACATAGGTAGGGACTATTCCTTTTTCTAACATCAGTAATCAAATGACAAGATGTCACTAAGAAATAGTGAAAACTCAAAAAAAGTAAAAATAATTAAATAAATAAAATAATACACTACCTTTGGTTTGATTTGTGCTTCCTCTTGATACACTGACTGCATTTAGAAAAGGATTCAGCCTTTCTTTAGGCACAAAGACAATTAGCCATCTTCTTGAGGATAGGAGAAAAAAATGCACAATGTATTCTCAGGAAGACCTGAGCTCTGATAGAACTGCAAAACATTGAATCACACTCAAATGAAGACACACACCCCATAGCTTTAAAAGAGTTTATCTATTCCTCTTCCACGTCGGCTATCTTGTTCAGGGATGTGATAGCATGTTGGTATCCCAAAGGGACAGGAGGTTACCTTTGTCTTTTTGCAGCCATTGATAATCCTGTTACCCAATATAATACAGTTTTAATTTGCCCTCAACATAGTGACTTCATCACACGCCATTCTGTTTTTTGTGTTAACCTTAATATTTATTTACGGTGTTTCATATCATTGGCCCATAAATATTTACCCATATCTCATAATTATCAGACTTTGATCCTCTGCCTGACCCTCCCTGCGTCCAAGGCTATTCATTTATTTTAAATTGTCTTGTCTTTTTAATTGTTCTATATCATCACTCTATTATTAATATAAGCAGGGGATTTTAATACAAAGTGCTAACCACTGTATGTGAATGCATGAATGGGTCAGATCTGCAGCACTGGATCTGAAATTAACTGTAATAAACTGGAGCTTCTGTGCTTTGATTACCTGCAGTGAAACAACATGACCCTCATCCATTTAAAATACCTAGTAGCTCCTCTGAGGTCTACACAGAGAGTGATTTTGTAAAGTACTTTATTACTTCCAAATGAAAATAAATAATAATATGTAATACATTACATTTTGAGAGTAACTTCTCCAACACTGGCAACTACATAGTCTGATAAATCTTTATAATGATTTTAACATCAAAATGCATAAAACAAAACCAGATCAAAACTACAGACTGACCTTACCTAAGACATTTTTTTTACAAAACCCATCAAAGTCCTGATCATTTTTGATAGGTACCTTAACTAGCTGAACAAAACTAACTCACTCGTAATGATTTAAAACTGTGGTCATAATTTAGGGCATACAGGTCTGGTACATTTTTCTCTTATTAACTTTGTATTTGCAATGACGAAATTGGTCACTTTATTTGTAAAATGTCACTCAAACGCCCTGAAAGCACCGACAAGTCGCTCGAAAATGTGAAGAAGTGTTTTACGAGCAGCATTTGAAAGTAGCATCAGACAACCTGTCAATCATTGCTCCGCGTTGGTCACCTGACCCAAACTCTAAGTCACGTGACTGATATTCCATCCTCGCCATTTTGCAATGTGGGAGAGAGGGAGGCCACTTTTTATGGCTAACGAATAAAACAAAGCACGTTTATGTGTTGAGGACAAAGAGCGTCGAGACTTTCCGTGTCAGTGAGTATATTCTTATTAAAATACTGCCGCGCGCTCCTCCGTCACACATTAACCGAAAAGATCATTAAAATGCCCTTGTACATTCATGTGTGGAACTGCTAGCACTGTGTGAGACTCGTGTGTGTCTGCCTGTGTGTGTGTGTGTGTGTGTTTGACTAGCAGGCAGCAAGCTGTGAAGCTAACTATGAAGCTAAGAGTGCTGCCTTTGACTCAAATGTCGTGTTTTCTTAATATTATAATCTTTTTAGGGTCGCAGCAGCTTTAGCGTGTATGCTAACATTAGCCGGTAAATTTGGCCAAGTGGTTTTTCGGTGTTTGAGTGGAAGTTGTGAGGCTGTGCTCAACTTCATTCTAAAGGGGAGTGAAAGTGGATGAAATATTTTTAGATACTGACATAACAGGTGCTCATCTGAGACTGGTTAAAGCACATGATGGTGTCTATACAGACCACAGTCACATTCAACCTTATAAAAATGGATCAAATGTACCACAGCAGCTTTAGCTTTTTATGTTCACAAGCGACAAACTTTTAAGTTATCACACCATGAGTTGTTTTATTTGGCACATTTCCACTGCTTGCATAAGACATTGCTCATAGAAGAAGTTTTTATTGCTGACTGAATTATTCTGGAATCCAGTGTTAATAGTAATAGGTCAGTTTCTGTGTGGCTCCACCCGGCAGAATTAAGAATTATGCTGGATAGTAGCCAATATCTCTTGCATGTGTTAACCCTTCTCCAAATATGCATCCTACTGTTTTGATACAGTCATACAGAAGCAGAAGTAGGAGAAAGAGGAAGGCCATTTGTGGTCAGAAAGTGAGAAAGAGGAAAGTTTTGGACTTGCAGAGAATAAAGGAATTCAACCACATGAGTTACGATCATTTCCCTCAGGCTTAGTTTGTAAACAGATGCACATGGTGCACAGTGTTTACAGGCCTGTGTATTGACTAGCAGTAACAGTGCTTATCATGATTGAGTTAAGCTATCATACTTATCATGGTGGTCATTTGGGCTACTTTCCTTTTCTTCTGAACAGCCAATCCCCTCATTAGACCCGTGGTAAATACTGTGATACAAAGTGTCAGTATGGTCAATTGTTTGTTTTTATTTATTTTTTTGTGGTAAAAACATTACATCTTTTTGTAAAATGTAAATAGTTCTCTCAAGGAGGAGCACATCCTTATTTAGAAATGTAGCTGACAGAACCAGTGGTCACTGTTACACTCTTGCTGTATGTTTCAATAGCGTTTACTGAGTTTCACTGTGTAAAACTCTTGATGCCAGACTGACTTGCTACTTATTACCCTAAAACACAAAATTAATAGGGCTGGACAATATGTACAAAATCATATATCACAATATTTTTTTATCAAATATTCTGATATTAATATTGTAGAGTTGACTATTGATGTTTCCACAATAAGATTTTTGATAAATAATTATCAGTAATGTGGATATAATGACTAAATGGGTAAAGGCAAATAATAGAACAACTGGAACAGTCTGGTAAGTTCAGAAAATTACATTTTACTGTAATGCAGCCTTTAAAACCAGGAAAAGATAACACATAAAATATACGATATGTAAGATAATATCTTGTCTCATATCACAGTATCAATATACTTCCCAGCCCTACATGCTAACATACAAAGAGCAAAACACTCAATCACATGTACAATCCTCAGTACACAGACGCATGTATTTTTTATTTTTTTGCTCATAATGTGATGGACAATATTCATTCACAAAAATAACCCCACACAATACATTAAAACCTAAATTTACCCCAAGCAGGCTAAAAGAACGTCTTAGTAGATTTTAGTAGAAACTTTGAATCAGAAATTTTATTTGATAATGAATGCTTCAAGAAAACTTTAAACATTTGTTGGAAAAGTCAGTAACAAAATGTGGGACACATGGCCATTAAAATGGAAGGTTCAATATGGAGCAGAGAGAACAAAAATTAATTTGCCAAATTGCCAATCTATTAATTACTTATTAACAATAAATATTATTTTTGACATTTTTTCTAACTACAGAATTTTAATGCTAACTGATTACAACACACACAATTTTCACACACATGACAGTGACAGCATTCTGAGTTTTACAAGCAGTGTCTATATTGCTGAAATCAGTGCAGTTCTGCAGGTCCTCTGTATGGACCTGCTTATTCACTAGTTAACTGAACATGCAATATGTGTTTGCAAGCCTTTCGTCTTATTCTAACACCATTACCTTGGTCAGCAGAACAGCAACATGCGTGCTAATTTCTTCTTCACCTCAGCCATATATTATAAATGTGTGGCAGTAGTAGAGATTTGAAAAAGGAAACACACATGCAATTCCTTCCCTTTTTTTTACTGTCGAAATGTTGCAATGTACAGTAGTGTAAATTGCAGTTGATACAGAACAGAAACTCTCAGTCAGTATTTTTCTTGTCTTGTCATTCATAAGAATGTGTAGGATTTCCTGCAGTGTTAAGTCAGGCTCAAGGCTACATTTTTTTAATATATATAATCAATAAATAACATAAAAATTTCGAGAGTCACCACTCTTTGACATTTTTAATCGTGACCTCTGCATGAATTGCAGAGTTTTGACCACTTTGACTCCTTTTAGATGAAAATGTGAAAATCAAGCTAACGCGATACTAAATTACTGTCGGTCAACACAAACCCTAGAGTCACAAACTAGTCTTAACTGTCTTCTATAGCACTGCTTTGGTTATGCAATAAATGGATAAGTGGACAAAAAAGTGTATTGATAGCTGTTTTGATAATCATAATCGTTAAAGTCATTTATCAAATATCCACAAATTCCATCTCCTTAAACATGAAGACTGGTTGGAATTGTCTGTTTTAATTGTAAATGCAATAACTTTGAGTTTTGGTTGGGGAAAAACAAGTGATTTGAACTGTGGTCACTGTGGTCTCTGGCAGATTGTGATGGGCATTTTTTTAGTATTTCAAAGACTAAATGAATAGGTCTAAAAAATAATCTAACGATACTGTAGACAGGTATTCTATATTGACAATGATTTGCTATAAGAACATGCTATCCTACACTTCACAGATTGTTTGTATGAGTTTTTTGTATGAAGGTTGGTTAAACTCTGGACTTTTTAATATTGTATTTAAACGTGTGTGTATCCATATTAGTAAGGAATCACATCTGTTCAAATTCATAAAGTACCAACCAGTAAACAGTCTTTTCTCTCTTCCCTACTGTCTGCCAGGTCATGGAGGAGATCAGCAATGTAGCTGTACTCATCACACAATCCTCCTCTTCCTCCTCCACTCCATCAGCACTGGGATCCCTCTCTCAGACCCAAACCCAGCAAGAGGAGGACGCCCCCCAGAGTTTTCAGCAGAAACAAGCAGCAGATTCTCTGATCCAGGTCATTGAGAAGCTCAGCAAAATTGTGGAGAAGCGGCCCCAACGCCGCTGCACCGTCGCAGGACAGAAAAGAGCCTCCTCTGCAGTGGGAGGAGGAGCTGAGGAGGGGACGAGGGGGAGCAGAGGAGGCTCTCCCTATAAGAAAATCAAGAGGACGTTTAAGGGGCAGGAGAGTGAAGAGGAGGTGCGAATAGATGGCAGCACGGCTGATGGCGCTCGTTCTTCTCCCGTGTCAAGTGACAGTAACAATGACATCACCTCCATGTTAACAGAGGTAGCCGGCAACCCAAATGGCAGCAACCACAAGCGGACAGTGACGTGCTATCAGTGCAGCCTGTGCCCCTATCTCTCCCAAACGCTGCCCCTGCTGAAAGAACACCTGAAACAACACAATGAGCAGCACAGTGACCTCATCCTCATGTGCTCTGAGTGTCGCTTTACCTCCAGAGACCAGAGGCAGCTGGAGGCACATGTCAGGCAGCACTTCGACAATGGTGGCAACCTGAGGACAAATTCCACTCTGACAGACACCTACAGCGAGTGCAAAGAAGAGGTTTTAAGGAGTCCGGATGGGGACTGGACTGGGAGCAGTGGCAGTATGGGATCCGAGGTGATCAAAAGTTCATTGGACGGTTCCAAGGAGCTAGCGCAGAAAAAGAAATGGTATAGCTACGAGGAGTATGGATTGTACCGTTGCCTGATCTGCAGCTACGTTTGCAGCCAGCAGCGAATGCTCAAGACCCATGCCTGGAAACACGCTGGCCTGGTTGACTGCTCTTACCCCATCTTTGAGGATGAAGATGGAGCTACGGCAAGGAGAGAGGTCCAGGCTACAGCTAACACTGCTGCAACCAGAGAGGAAATAGTTGTTTTTTCCCCAGTTCTTCAAGATAAAAGCCTGCAAAAGCTGCCCACGGCCTTCAAGCTCCAGCTCTGTGTGCCAATGGCTGTTGAGAACAAAAGGGATGTGTTGAATCATCCTATTTCTAATGAAATTCCAAAAACAGAGGAGGAGGAGGAAAGTGTGTACCCTATCAAAGACCTGACCTCTGAGGAGCCCATGGTGGAGGTGCAGGTGACGACAGAGGCGGAGTCTGAGGTGGAGATTGATAATCACCATGATAGCACCTCTGTCACGGACAGCTTACTATCATCAGCTCAGAAGATTATCAACAGCAGTCCCAACAGTGCCGGCCACATCAACGTGATTGTAGAACGCCTTCCTTCAGCTGAGGATTCAGTCATGGCGACTAACCCACTTCTTCTCAGCCCAGATGCGGACAGGGATAAGAGCTTACTGGATGCAGAGGTTGAGAAGCGGGACCGTGTGGGAGCTGTGAAGGATGAAGTGGTCCCTGGCTGCACATCTGACAGCCAGCCTTTAGCATCTGATATCAAATCCTCTGTCGCTATGGGTAGCGACTCGCCACGAGATGAAAACATCCCCCCAGCTGGGCGCAAGAGGACTCATTCTGAGTCGCTCCGCCTTCACTCTCTGGCAGCTGAGGTCCTGGTAGCTATGCCTATGAGGACCCCTGAGCTTCCCACCTCTAGCAACAAGGTAAGTCTGAAAACAATTACAGCCCAGGCCCAGAGCCCAAACACGGTCCAGAAACCTGTAGATGTGACCACAGCAGGACCGAAGGCCTCTGACGTAGGAACAACGGCTGCTTTATTGGACTTGGAGCTTCATAGTGAGGGCAGAGAAGAAGATTTGGGCTCCCTGTGCCTGGGGGAAGGAGACGAGGAGGGCCCTGCCACTAAAGCCGGCATCAGCCTGTCACTTCTCACTGTCATCGAAAGACTGAGAGAGCGCTCGGACCAGAACGCCTCAGATGAGGACATCTTGAAAGAGCTTCAGGACAACGCACAGTTCCAAAATGGAGCCGTAGCCGGTGTGGTCACAGGGAACGGAGCTGGGAGTTACATGTGTAGCATCCCAGGAATGGACGGGTTGGTCACATCTCCTGACGGTGGTCTGGTGGACTTCATACCTGGCAGTGACAGGCCATACCGGTGCCGCCTGTGTCGCTACAGCAGCGGCAATAAGGGCTACATTAAACAGCACCTACGGGTGCACAGGCAGAGGCAGCCGTATCAGTGTCCCATCTGTGAACACATCGCCTCAGACAGTAAAGACCTCGAGAGCCATATGATTCACCACTGTAAGACCAGGATGTACCAGTGTAAGCAGTGCCCAGATGCCTTCCATTACAAGGTGAGGAGACGTCAACGCTCACATGCAGCTTTTAATCATTTTTTTGATATGTAATCAGATTCTTAAAGTAGTGTATAATAATGTTCAGAGTGTAGGAATCCATTGAGGTAGCTGGTGTTGTAGTCTGAACAACAAGCCTCATCATGGCGGAAGAGACAGATGTAGACCATGCTGAGTCGTATACTGTACAAGGGATGGGAATCAACAGAGGCCACTCCTATACCATATTTGTTTATGTATTAAGTATTCCTTCAAATATAACACTGACAGTCCATCTTTTTGTTTCCTCAAGCTCACTCTTACATTGTGTAACAGTTCACCCCTCACCAACAGCTCTAATTGTCATCTTCATCCATGTCCTCATCATATTTTCTAAAAAACATATTGTACAGAAAGTTTTTTTCCAAGTTAAAATGCTACAAATGTCCTCAGTGAATGTGTGAATTTGACACGTCTCTTCTTAATATTTTAGTAAACTGAAAAATGAGTTTTAGGCTTTTGTTGGAATGAAAGAAGCTGTTTAAATGTGTCACATTGGGTTCTGGGAAAATATTATGGGCATTTTTTTAATCGGCACGTTAATCAGCAATGAAAATAATCATTCGTTTCAGCCCTATTGTCTCTATATGTAATAGAGGATCTTTTCCTGCTTCTAAATCAGAGAAAATGAAGTCAAACAGGTGATTATGGTCTTTAATCAACACTTGTTCCTGTCTGTCAGACCCAGAGTCTGAGAGAAGACGTGACAGTTTTTGATTGGAACACAGCAAAGGTCACAGTGTATGTGATATTTTCAAGAAGAAGTTCTTATTTTTTCAAATAACTGCACTGAATACATATTAGGTCTGCACAACTAATCGAATATTAATCACCATGTTGGCTTCACACAATTTAATGAACATAATCGACTGTGATGATGATGTTTAAAATGCGTGCTCCGCTCATAGAAAACTCAGCTGCATATCTAATCAAGCGCCTCCTAAACCATCAGCCAGCCTCCACTTTAAAGAGCTGCCATGCTGGTACACATGCACCCTGCAGCAGCACTTTGTGGAATTTTTTTCTGAATGTTGCATTTCATTTGCAGACAGACAAAAGAAAAATCATTGTTCATCAACCATCATAATCTATTGTTTGGATGCAGCAAATCATAAGAAACACAGCTGACTTGGTAAACCACCAAAATAACACCACAGTCTGCAGAATGATGAATGAATGAAGACCAAGATGAGTTATGTCATAAACATTACCTCACTGAATCCCTGTCTTTATCCAGCGTCAACTAAGGTATCCATGAAAGTACATGCTGTACAGTGTGTCACGGTACTGTGACCACCGTAAAAAAAAAAAAAAAAAAAAAAAAAAAATTTAAAAAAAAAAAAAAAAAAAAAAAAAAAAAAAAAAACAACATTTAAAAAAGAAATTAAAATACAGCACTGAATACGCATCCATCCATCTCTCAAAGACAGACTGACAGACTGAAATAATCAATGCAGTCATATGGCCAAGATATGCGGCCAGAAAAACGATGTTTGCATCCAGTTGCACTCTGTGGTAATGCTTTATTTTTGGGTACAATTAAATGTATATTTTTTGCCAAGGAGATGAATTGAATTCAGGTAAAGAATGTTTAAGTCTTAGTAATAGTTTTGTAAGGAGTAGTAAATAGTTTTGATGCAAAGCTTTGTTAATCAGCAGAAATGTAGCACAAGGTGAAAGTAAAAGCTCTGTTGATTTAAAAGTAAAAGTGCAATAAATGTATGTTATCACCAGTATCAATGATAAATCGTGACAAATAATTATGATCTCAATATTGATCAAAATAATCGTTATCATGTTGGCTATAATCATGCAGCCTCAACATATATGCACAGTATATTGGTAGATCTGTAATATGCAGACAGGTTTGTAAGGAGGCATGAAAATCCAGTTGCTAAACAGTTTGGACCCCCCCCCCCCAACACACACACACACACACACACACACACACATCACAAACACATGCACCTACATCCATGTGCAGGCAGATGTCCGCATTTGTATGTGACACACACTATATCTGCTGTGAGACTTGTCTCCTGTCAACATCTGTTTTTGTTTGGCAGCAGCCCAAACACTAAAGGTGAGTTAAGACCTAAAGAGATAAGTTAAATTACCTGCGTCTGTGCCCCGGTCGGTTTGATGATGCAGGCAAAGGAGAAAACTATTGATCCCTCCGCTATCATGGGACTCCAGTGGCCATCTGCAGCAGAGATTATTAATCATTTAACAAGTTCATCATATTATCCAGCAGCTTTGGGAGTTCAGCTAGGAAAGTTATTGTGAAGGGTGAAGGCTGCATGGTGCATCACTGACTAAGTTTGCATGCACACTAACTATTCGACTATTATCCCATATATGACAGTATTCCAAATTTGGTACGGGTCATTTTTCAAAAGTAGCATTTTACAATTAAGATGTGGGATATGCCAGTATTATTGGGGTTTTAGGTGCATCCTTTGAGCATGTATACATTCACAATATGCGATTCAGTTGGGGTTTTTACTACAGTTGGCTACACATGCCCTCTTGTATCTATATGATCAGCTCTGTGCGATGTCTTGGACTGTTGTACACAAACCTGCAGTTTGCAAGGCTGGGGTAGAGATGCATGCCTGGAGGACACATATCTGGTTCACCTACTTTGAAACATTCTGAAAGACTTGGATATCACCAGGTTTTTGAATATACACAAATATAGCAGCACTGACCTTTTCAAGAAGATGGTTGAAGGAAGTAAAGAGGGAGGCTGTATTTGGATGGTCCAACAAGTCTGCCACTGGTGGAAAACTTTGAAAAAAATTTCATTTTAATGCAAAGAAGCAGAATGACACAAGCAGCTCCAGCAATTCTACTTTTCTTTATTTTGATGTGATAAACAACATGTTAGGGCATGTTAATCTGAGTATGCACAGCTGCATGTAAATATGAATATTAGTGGAATATTCATTTCATTAGCCATTAACTTAGTAGGAATATTGTCTTTTTCGGAATAAGGGCAATAAAACGGAATATTTTGTGCACATAAAAACAGTCACTGAAGATCACTGCATGTCACTCCACTACATGTCCATGGTGTAGATATTTTGTTGAGACTGATTAGTACAAAACATTTATCATAGAATATTTAGATAGAAGACAATTTGTTTCTCATGTTTTTGTCCATACCTTCATATCTATTGTGCCTTTAAAAGAATCTTTTATTACTTATACCCCTTTTCCACCAACATGAAACCAGTTCCCGCACCTTATTTTGAATATTTGCGGTATTTCGATCAAAAATAAATTGGTTCAGAACTCGAAAACTCGGCTCTCAGCTAGAACCAAAAAAAGCAGGTTTTCCTTGACCTGAAGTGCGAACTGTGAGTGTGGGTGTGTCATATTCTACAGGTTGGAAAGAGAGGTTGGACAAGGAAACAATGGAGACGTCAAGTGAGAAAAGATAAGAAAAAAAAGAGTGTACAGTTGGTAATAGTTGGTCCATACTTAATAACACAACAAAAAATTGCAGTTAATTAATGTAATGAGCAGTTCTGCTACTACTTGGATTATGCAACACCTTCAATTGCTGTAACACCCTTGATTACAATGGTTCCACGCAAAAACTGGAAATACAGGCCAGTTCCCTACATAGCACCAAGGTCCTAATAATCTTGAATGGAACCAGTTCAAGAATCAGAGCTCATATGGTGGAAAAGGGGTATTAGAGGCCACAATTTATAAATGGGCGAACAATTATGCAGTATTTCTTTGTTTGTCTCGTTTAGCTCCATTTAACTAGTGTGTAAATCAAACAAACATCTGAACAGACCCGTTTTGCTAGCAGGTCCTAAGGTAGTAAAACGTATATCTTAAAAGCTATTATGAATGTCAAGTGCATGTTATGTTTGTTTTTGTGCAGAAATCATATAATGTGTGTGTGTGTGTGTGTGTGTTTTTTCCTTACGTAGAGCCAGTTAAGAAATCATGAAAGGGAGCAACACAGCTTCAGTGGTGACACGGCAGCCCTCACACCAGTCACTGAAACCGTGGCCATGGTGGAGGAAGCTGAGCGGGTAACAGATGAAGGTAAGGCATGTTTTTATAGTCTGACTGTGTATTAGCATTTGAAGATAAATTGTATTTGAAGATAAATTGTAAATTGTAAATACTGCCATATGATTTTTGTCAGTGTTTTCAGAAAGGTGTAGATCTGTTTCCTTTGTACTCTATCACAGAATGTGGTATGCAGAAGATGTATAAGTGTGATGTGTGCGACTACACCAGCTCTACATATGTTGGGGTGAGGAACCACCGCAGGATTCATAACTCTGACAAGCCTTATCGGTGAGTTGTTAAAAAAAAACCTTGAAATGCACCAGTATCACCTTAATGCAAGTACTCAAACCACTTGCTGTAATTTGATGGCCACAAGTCTTAAAATAAGTCTCAAAATGACTCAACGTATGATTAAACTAAAGGCTTGCAGTTTGTCACAGCAACCAGTGTAGGATTTGGATTCAACAGCGTTTTGAATTTGAGAAAAGCTTGAAGTCACAGAAAACTTAATTAGAGCCTCTTTCACACTGCACAAAAAAATCCACTAACACCCATGAACATCTGTCTTTTGTTTGTTATGGGGAAGGTTAGAATCGGCATTCACACCAGGGTCAAATGACTGCAATGGTCACAGGTATTTATCGGCTCTGGCTCCAGTTGGCATAGGTGGAAATACAACATCTGGGTGAATGAGCTAATTTTAGCTCCTTTCGCGGCAAAATACAATGATGAGCTACCACAAAATACTGTCCTACTGTCTCTGTCCAAGCAGCGTTCACACATCAATCCAAATTAGTCTGCCCCGAGTTTGAAATAGAGACTGAATAAGTAAGAGATGTGTAGAAAGAAGTAACCACCGTAACATTTTCACAGGCCTTCATGCTGCTTTCTACTGTTCACTAACCTGTTTTCCAGCTGGTCTGTGACATCCAACACGACACAGCAGTAAAATAAATGCACAGAAAGGTATTCTCGTCTGCTGCAGAGCTGTGAACATGGCTCTAGACTTCTGGCAGTAAGAAAAGGAGTCTATCACCTATTTTTAGTGGATTTTCACATGTTAAAAATAGAGGTATATGAATTGCATTTATTACATATCTATATGTAAGAATATATGCAAGCATTTTATGGCCTTTATTTAACCAGGAGGTCCCTTAAGATAGAAATGTCTTTTCTGAAGGAGACCTACCCAAGACAGCACACCAGTTACAGTTTGTATAAAAATATAACAGACAGGAAATCAATCATCAAACACACAAAATCTATCTCAAATATGTTTTAAATGTTACTGAAAACATCAATTAACTTAAACCCTCCAGTGATTTGTATGATTTTGTTGTAGCACAAGCCCGGACACTAGGATGGTATGAGCTTTTTATTTAGATATCAATAAAATCAATGATGACAGTGGCAACAGCAGATCCTTGTGTTGTATCTGAATGCATAAACATGGTCCACAGTATAAACATAACAGAAGAATCTCACAGCCCTAAACTGTATATAAGACTGGGATGAGCCCTTATCCTGTTTCACCTGTAATAGTCCTGCACTGCCCAAAGTCCACCTTCTGTCAACACTAATTAGACATATGACTGTCAATGACACATCAAAGGAGATGCCCAGGTGGAGCACTGCTCCCTATTTGGACCTGTTTCCCCTGTGAACCAAAACTGCCCATGTTAAAGTTGTAAGACCTGCTTGTTGGCCTGATGAGCAAGCCTTCAGTTTCAGTGATGTTAAAGAATATTGTAGGTTGTTGTTGATTTTCTGCTTTTCATTGAGAGAATGCGTTTCAGTGATAAAATTGATCTTCACAGTTATTAAAGTAAAGGTGATTTAAAGTTCTAAATGTCACGCAAAGGCAGTTTGCAAATGCCATCAGTCCCAATTTATTTCATTAAATCATATACATAAACTTTGGCTCTGCGTACTGTTGATATGATACAGTAGATTTTATCTGGCCTAGCAGATAATAATCTTATTACGTTAGTTATGGTCACAGTCAAAGGTGCCATGGCAGCAGTTCCAGGGGACTGCACATACTGTAGCTTTATCTTTGACATTGTTTCTGTTAAATTCTTCGTGCTTTGAAAGTTCTGCATTTTGTTAGTTTTTGACAACAAACATTACTTGTTTTTGCAGTCATACTGTGTTATATTTTTTTCAATATGTTAATGAAAGTTGCAGGAATTATATATGACATTTAGCTATAATGACAGCGCATTAATGAAGCAGACACCAATCTGTATTTTTGGAGACTGATTGCATATTTTTTGGGGACTGATTGCATATTTCTTATCTGTTGCAAATTGAAACAGACTTCTGTGTTAATTATTTTACACACATTATCCTGTCCTAGCAGGGCTTTAGTCTGTAAGCTTTACATCGGTGCCAGAGATTTGCAGTCCTTTATGTTTTTCTCTTACATAGTAAATAAAACTTGAATTAATGTATAAATGTAAAATGTGGGCACTAGCTTTAAGTGAATACAATAGTTTATAGAGTACAATATAATACCTGTGTTTCTGTCATGTCCTGTGTAGTAGTGTTTGTGGTCAGTTAATATTGCATTTTCAGTTTTCAGTTCCTGTTTCAGGCAGAACCAAATACTTGGCAGTCAATGAGACTCACTTTTTATGTCCCGGTTCCCTTTTAAGTGCCTGAGATGTACTTGTCATTTTAGAAAGGTCCATTAGATGGCAGTACATGCCCTGTAATGCTCAGACCAGCAAAGTGATCTCACTGTGTAGGCACAGTCACACTTTCTCACACGGCACACTCACTGCATCTCTCTCTCTGACTCTGCATTAGCACTCGGCCTTTGTGTTACCATAAAGCTGCCATGAGGTGTGAACACATATGAGTGCTTTCTTAGCATTGTGATGTCACTTGTGCTCTAAGGTCACACGTACGTAGAGAAATACACACATGACAGGATTTCTTTCTGCTCTGGAAAAGGTCAGATTGAATATAATTGCTGTTTCTAACCAGAATGATAAACCATCCTGTTAGCTAATGGTATAAGAGCAAAAGTAGAGTTAGGAAATACGGGATGATCCAAACATTCCCAGTGCATTCAAACAGGTGAAAACAAGAGACCATTCAAAAAGAGAATAGCTGTAGATGCCTGAGTAAAGCAAGTCTTGTGGCCAAAAAAGAGCAATATGTACTTGAATGTGCAAGCACTGTTGCTGTTGTGTCGACACACTGGTTGTGCTCTCGTCCTTGTGCTTTCATGAGGACAGATGATATTATACCTCAAACACTGATGTGCTGAGATCCTTTTTTTCGCCTTTACAAAGTGTGTGGTTTTATCTAACTACAATTTATGTTGGAGTCTGTTAATACTGTAATGTAGACTTAGCCATTTACAACATTTTTACAGTAGAAGTAGTTTATATTTGAATTTCGAATATCGAATGGAATGTCTAGTCTGTCAGGACTGCAGTGTAGTCTGTAGGTGTTAGGACCAAGCAGCAATCTCGGAGGCTGAGAAATGAAGCCAATGCAGAAGTGCCAAAAATTGCAGTTCATCAAGTAGCCACTTGAGGCTGGCTCCAAAACAGAGTCAATCCCCACAGACCGCCATGTTGAAAATGCCCAACTTTACAGCAGAAATAAACATGTTTACAGCCTGGTTAAAAAACAGTCTTGGTCTCGGTAACTAATTTTTAACATTAATAACATCTGTTCAAGGGGGTGAATTTTTTTATAACTCAACTGTTTACATTTTATTAAAGGGCCAGTGTGTAATATTTGGCATGGTTTATTGTCAATCTGAATCTGAATCTGAATATTCTACCCATTAATATGTTTATATAAGTGTATGATCGCTATAAAATAAAATTCGTTTGGTTTTTGTAGCCTTATATATATATTTTTATATATATATAGCAAGGGCCTTGCTTTAGAGAGGTCGCCATCTTGCGCCGCCATGTATGTACGGCAGCCCGAGCGGACAGTCCAGCCAGCCAGAGAACGCGTTTTGCGTGTATAAATAAACCAACGAAGACAGCGGAAGGAAGGAAGAAGGAGGAGGAAACAGTAGAGAGTGTTAGTAGTTCGTCGATAGAGAGTAGTGAAAAGTATTTTTAGTTATAAAGTTTGCGAATGGACCACACTTACCACGCAACAGGAGAGAATGAGCCCGAACAGTCATCTGCAAGGAAAAGAAGACGCAAATTCACTCCTTGTGATGCACTCTCTGCGGCGCTTTTCCTCCTGATGATATATCTCCCCAACGATGGTAGCACCGAATCCCATTCTGTGCATTCAGCCTCTCCTCTCACCCGCTCAGCATCAAACACATGGAGTTCCTCATCTGTATGCTCCGGCTCAAACAGGTATGGCTCTGGGTCTGTGTGCGCTACAAGAAACTCTTCAAAATCGTGTTCAAAGTCTTCCATTGCAGCTACTATAGTCCGGAGATATTGCTAGGCTAAATAAACAGCTGAGCTCTGTTTACAGGCTACGCTGTCAGTCAGTGTGCGGGCTGGAGATTGGAGAGTATGTGTGTATGAAGTGTGTGTGTTACGCTAGAAGAGTCAAGAGTTTGGGACAGAGTCTTTTACCCCCTTGAGTGTTACCGGAGTTTTTGGAGTGCTCAAATAAACGGGCCTTTTTCCCAAACGCTACTCTGGTCTCCTGCTTGTGAGTGATTCATTACAATATCGTAACATGGTTTAGATTTCTAAATAAATATTCACCTCGTTGCTAGATAGACCTACTCCTGAAAAACTTGTGCGCAAGGCTTTTTGTCCCTACGAGGCCACCGTCATTTACCCGATGGGAGGGGTGAGCGAGTGAGCCCTGCAATCTAGAATTTGACCACTGATGTCACTGTTTTCAACCCATTTTACACAGTGGCCCTTTAAGGCCAAAATGGTATGTATTTAAGGGCGGGGCCTCTTGATTGACAGGCTGTCTTCAAGGTGTTGCTATAAGTCGGTGCAGTCTGTGAGTCAGATCCACTCCTCGCTCCTCCACAGCTCCAGCCTCTGGTCCAAATATGGTCACTTCTGGCTCCAAATTGCCAAGATGCCGACATCCGAAAAACTGCTCTCGAGGCTTTAAACTGCAGTCCACAAACCAATGGGTGACATCACGATAGCTACGTCCATTACACATGCAGTCTGTGTTTAGGACAAAGCAGCATCCTGTAAGGCAGAACAAATGAAGCCAATGTGGATATGCTAAAATTAGAGTTCTTAAATGGCCACTTGAGACTGGCTCCAGAAGCCAGTCAGTCCCCACAGACCCCCATGTTAAAATATTCAACGTTACAGCAGAAACAAATATATAGCCTGGTACAAAAAACAGTTTTCGTCTCTACAGTTGATTTCAACATTCATGACAACTGTGTGAGGAGTGAGTTTTTATTTTGAACTTATGTAACTCATTTGTATACATTTTATTAAGGCTTAAAGTTATGCATATTTAAGGGCAAGGCCACTTTAGTCACAGGTTGTCTGAGAGGCGTCGCCACAGTCAGATCCACCCCTCGCTTCTCCACAGCTCCACCTTCTCGCCAATATATGGTCACCTCTGGCTCCAAAAATCCAAGATGGTGACAGCCGAAGTTCCAGATTCAAGGCTCTAAAATGGGAGTCCACAAACCAGTGATTGACATCAACGTGTCTATGTCCATTATATTATATGGTATATGGTTAGGACCATCGCACGTGTTCTGTACTTCAGCAGTAGAGGTTAAAGTGCTGACGTTCAGCTTTAATTGTAGCGCAGAAAGATAATAACAGGGCTGCTGTTCTACACCCAATCTGGATGTAAGCACCCTCAAATTAAAGCTGTACTTCTTAGTTGTTCACCCTCATAGTTATTGTTTAATTTCACATACTGTACAAAGCCAACTTAACAACAAAAGAAAAAGTGCCACTCTCCAAAGACTTGCAGACTGCACTGTATTTACAAGTGATACAAACATTGTGCCATCTTTATCATCTGTACATCTTCTCTTTTCACCAAAATCACGCTACAGTGTTTAAGTTTTCAAGAGATATTCACTGTTACTGTGCAGAATGTCTTCACGTGCAGCTGTGTGCCAGTACACGTCAGCAGCTGTGAGAGGTGTGTATCAGTACACAGTCCCCTGCTGAAACACCTATGCAATGGTTTGTCAGGAGCTACAATATGCAGTTAGTGGGATTAGTGTAAAAGGCCCCAGTAGGCAGCATTTTATGGTAATACTGATTATGTCTGGTAGTGTCTCACATTTTAATAGCATAACAATAGAACATAAAGGAAAACCACACACTGGACTTGTGCTCATATTTAACCATTCCCTCATTTGTTATTAACAGTGGTGTAATTGGCAAAGAGTGCAGAAATGTCCATCCTGATTATGTAACAGTGACTGAAACGCCATTGGTATTCATTCCTCTCCACCACTGAAATCAAATGCCAAAACATTTCCATTTAAAGTGCTCCCTGTGCTGTTCTGTGCTGTGTAACTGCAATGCACTGGATCATAAACTTTTACAACTTATTATAATTACAATTTTCTCTGTAAATACCATTCTTGGTAGTGATGTGTCTGTGTTGTAGTGTTAGTGGTCAGTGAATACAGCATTTGAACTTTTAATTAAAGATATTTTAAAGTGCTATCCTTTTGGAAATACAGTGCGTAAGTTAAAGCAATGGTTTGACATTTGCTAAAAGAGATGAGAAGATCAATTACTCTTGTGTCTGTACAATAAATATAAATCTACAGCCAATAGCTGGCTAGCTTCGATTAGCATAAAGACTGCAAATAGAAAGCCAGGCTCAATCCTCCTAACGTAACAAAATCTGTTGATGAAATCTGAAGTGTAAAATCACCAATTTACTGAAGGTTAGGTATCAACTAACCTATGTTTTGGCTTGGAGAACTTACTTTCTGAAGTCTCTGTTAGTTCCCTGTCAAGTGGTCCTGGCCAAAAAATGACAACCCTCTCTAAAGAGCGGTTGCTGTGATGCACTTTGATTCAAAACAGTTGCAATGAAATTCAGTGGTGACACATATTCATAGTGAAGAAATCACTCATTTTCAAACTACTCCTGCACCCCAACCTACCTCTCCACTGCACATTAGCATGCACACTTTGTTCAAACAGTCATTATTAATCCAAATACAGCCCAATACACTGCTTCCATGTCACACTGTTGCGCTCTCCAACTGTCCAAAGCTGGAAGCGGTGCCTCAAAATGTCTTCTAGTTTTCTTTAGTTTCCTTCAGGCAAGGCCACTTTATTTTCCAGTGATCACACCACAAGCCACAGGCAGCATGATAATTAAACATAAATGTACTTGTTATGATGTAGTAGCAATTTGTGGCCTTGTATTCCAAATTATTCACAGGATATTGTTGTTGGAATAATGAGATTGAGTATTTTTATTAGCCTGCCTATTGCAATATTGTTGTAGTAATAGTTATGATAGAAGCTAAAATATATGGAGGGAAAGAGGGCTCAACAGCATGCATGAAAATGAAATAATAAAAAGGTAATAATAGTAAAACATATTTCTATTTTACATTTACAAAAGTAAAATTAATCTAAAAAATGACTCTTTTGAAACAATGTGCTGTTTTTCTTCTTCTTTTTGGTTGGTCAAATCCATCTTTTTAATATTCTAGCCCCAGCCAACCTCACATTATCAAGTGCAACACTTTGTTTTGTCCGACTTTATTTTAATGCTGTGCAAGTATCTGTAAGTTGAGCGTAGCCTTAGTCTGAGGACCTTGTACAGTATTTGCCTCTGAGCAGCTAAAAGGCCAGTTTCATCTTCCAACCGCAACATCCAAGTGCAACAAAGTCAAAAACACTGTGAGTTATTCTTTTTCTTAAAGTGGCAATTTCCTCTCTATTTTGCTGTAAATCCCTTATCTCCTTTCAGGCTACAAGTGTAAAGAAGCAAAACGATGACCTCAAAAGGCAGCGTGTTAAACTAGACGCTCTATCTCCATGTTCTCTCATCTCTGCTTTCTCCATCTGCCAGGTGTTGTAGCTGTGATTTTGCTACCACCAACATGAACAGTTTAAAGAGCCACATGAAGAGGCACCCTCAGGAGCACCAGGCCGTGCAGCTGCTGGAGCAGTACAGGTGAGAAACCTAAATACAAATATACCACAGAGAGCAATGATAAGAATGACCACTGGACCTCTGAGGTGAGAATGAAGAGCTGTACTTGGCCAAAAGAAGCTATCAGAGTCTGTGTGGGCCTGAACCTGTGTGTGACCACATGTGAGTCTCTCGTGGGGCCAGCAGCCTGGAAAGTTGAGAAATAAGCTTCTGATTGCGAGGTTAGTGGTTGGTGGGTGGAGAGAGTGAACAGGGATGAATACTCTGTCCTCCTTAAAATGTTAAATATCCTCAACCTTGAGAGAGGCACTGATTGCTGATTTCCACTTATTCAGTCATCAGTACCTGCAAGCCTAGAATGCCCATGTTTTCATACACTAGAAATGGCACAGACAGTGCTGTTCTTTTTCTGTCTAGTTATTCACTACCACAATTTAAATGAAGTGGGGGGACTTGAGCGAGAATGATTTTAGACAGAATGGTCAAAATTGAAGCAGCATGTCCTGGCTGAAGCCCTTTCCCATTTCTCCCCCTAGGAAAAGAGTTACAAGGGGTAGCGGTTGAAATCTTCCCCTGTGAAATGGAACCCTTTAAGACCGTCATACATCATCAGAAGTCATCAGTTGTGTTTATGTTAACAGATGTGACTATGGCAATAATGATATCATCATAATGACATTTGCCAGTTATCTGATGGAGATAAACAGGATGAACACTCGATATTAGCTCACAACTTGAGTTTTATGCTTTCAATTGATCAAACAAGTCATCAAAATAAAGAACACTGCGTCATTATCAAGCCACTAGCAGTGCTCTGTAGGCTAATGTTAGCAACCTACATTCCTACCCTGTCAGCCTGCACTGATATCAGAGAAGCGTTAACAAGTGCAGCAACTTCACTGCTGAACTTTCATTAAATTTTTGCTGTCATATGCCCTCAAAGTGAGGGGCATGTAGATATTTCAAAGTGTGAGACTGTCATGTGGAAATCAGCAATAACAATGTAATGTCAGCTAGCTAGCTTGTTAGCCACTGATACATCAGCGTACCACTAGTGATTTTTTTTTGTTATGCTTGTTTTAAAGAAACAACATTAAACTACGATGATATAATGGATATTGTAGGTTTTTACATTTGGATTAATTAAGTTAATAAATTTGTGGGGCTTATGCAGCCATCTTACCAGTGATTTCTCATAACACTTCTGTTTGAAGCGTGACTTTGGAAAACTCTGGAGTATGGCTGGGCGGTATGACCTAAAATTCATATCACGGTATAAATCGAATCCCTTCACGGTGACGGTATATATCGCGGTATAAATTTAAGTGTAAAAGTTACAATAGAAGTGTTTCTGAATGGGTTTTGTAGTCCCTTAGCAAAGCTAAATTGATAAAAAAAATAAAAAAAAAAGCAAGATATAATGTATTTTTTAGAGCATTTATTGTGCAGAATGCAGATCTCAAAACTCAAAATTAAAACCCAGTACTCTATGGTGCAAAATGTCCCCTGGAATCTGTATCAAAAGGTAATTCCTTCTTTTAGCAAAATCCTAAATGACTGAGTTGTGTTTTTTCCACCTGGACCTTTATGCTCTGCCATTTCTCCTCTAATCATCACGCTGTAACCTGTGACACGCTGTTATGATACCACCAACTATCACACATTCACATATGGAGTTTTTGTGGAGCCCCTAGTGTCACATAGGTTTACATTACCAAAGGTTTATGACAAACTCTCTTGCCTAAAACCAACTTCTGTGTGCGCACGGCGAGAGAGGAGAGGGAGAGACGCTGTGCTGCTGCCAGAGGAGACACTGAATGAGTTCCCTCTGAGCGGTAAGTCGCTAAAAGAGTCTGAGAAGTCCGGGGCTGTTCATAAGACATTAACTCACTCACTCACAAGTTCTCCAGCAACACATGTTGCACGTGCTACGCTAAATCACAGACATGATCCAGCTCCTCTTGCTCCGCTGTCTCTGTGCTCGCAGCCATTTTCACACTGAGGCAGGTGCGATGACGTCATCGACGATAGGACGGTAGAGCGCAAATCTCTACCGTGGGCCAAATTTATATCATTTCTACTGTCTACCACATATACCGTGCAGCCCTACTTTGGAGGGCCTTGTAACCTAACATTTTGCCCTACTCCTCTATCCCAACAAGAATCAGGACACCCTACCCCTAAGCGTGAGTGTGCAAAACGGAGGGGTAAGGGCAAGGGGTGCATTCACGTTCATACTTATACAGGGTTTTCCCTACCTATCTAAGACAATGGCGGCCGCCTTGGTTAAAGCGCGTGCGTGTGTGCATGGGGGGCGTTCAGATTTAGTGTCTGTTGCGCGCACAAACCCATTACTTTCAATGTAGACGTGCGTCATGTGCACTCACAACCCAAAGCGACGCCGTAGTGGTGCATATTTGGTGCAGTGCAGGGTTTTTTTTTTTTTGTTGTTTTTTTCGTCCGGCACACAGCTCAACGGACCTGCTTCTGCCTCCGGTGTTGTGTCAGATCCCAGTTCCACCTCAGGCTGTGTCTCTCCTACTGTTTGCCACGGCGCTCCGCCCTGTTTGAAAGGCGATAGAAGCCCATATGTGGAAAGACGTAGCCTCCGAGATGTAGAATGTGTATTATAGAAGAGAAACACACATTTCAGGACTGCTGACTTGTATCATCAAAACAGACGTTTCCTTTGATTTTCAGCCTCCTTTCATATTTAATAGAGGGGGGACAATACCTGACAGTAATATTCTCAGCTGTCAGGATGTGCCTGCTGTAAAGGGTAAATATAATCATAGAAGCCTGAAAATCACAGGACATGTCTGTTCTGATTATACAGTACAAGTCAGCAGTGTAAAGCACAAGCATGTGGGGGGCGTCCTTTCATATTTAATAGAGGGGGGGACCGTATCTACAAGTACAGCTGTCAAGATGCCCCCCGCCACAGGCCTTTGCTACCTTGGTCTCGAAAAAAAAAACAGGGAAAACCCTGTTATAGTTCAGTTCATTTGGTACAGACCAATAAAAAGGTGATGACATGTATTCATATGGACTGACATGTAACTTATTCACTGAACTGTTTTGGGGACTGTCACCTGACGTCATCAGCTCTACATGAACCAATGTGGAGCATATTAAATTCCAGTGACTGACACCATGTCATGCTGCAGTGCTCTAAAACCAATATGTTTATGTGTCTTGGTTTGAAAAGAGCCCACCGAGAAATAACTTATTATGAGCAGTTTTTGTCCGGAGATATAACTGGCCTTATATGACATGAATTATAATAAAAAGGTAGAAGGAGGGGGAAAAAAGAGACATTTATTAACCATAATATAAAGGAGATAGTTGCTGCGTGGCCACTTTGTTTCACTCAGTTAAACTAATGTTTCACATACTCTAGCAACTCTTTTTATACAGCAGCAAGTTCTGACCAAGTAATTTGATTGGACAGGAGGCATTCCATGAGTGCTGACATACAATATAATAGCACTGGGTCTATGCATGTATCACTCCATGTTACAGATGTTCTGAGCCATTAATTGTGTAAAGTGTTAGTTAGCCACCATTAAGGGTCATCATAAAAAACTTTGCACTGCAAAGCATATTACTACAAATAATATTTGAGTTAAATATAACTGGACATCAGAAAAGGACAAAGGAATTGACAAAGGCTTGGACACTTTACTCCAGGTACGCGTACATGACACCAGAAGACGCCCCAAGTACAGATTACGCTGTTAACTCATGAGCACCACACATATGCCACCAATGCGTCTGTCCACAGACTCTTATTACTCTTTTTACTGGTCGCAAAATAAATGGAAACACAGATGTAACCTACATGATACACAGTAGCTGGTCTGTGTTAATGTGGAGACTTGCACGTTAGTGTGCAGGAATGTTTATGTGTTGCTTGGCAACAGTCCAGTCCAAGTCCCTTTGCAGAACTGTTTGTGTTGGCTGAGCCAAATAAAACATTAAACAAACAAATAATAAACTGTTGCCGCCTTTTACCATTGATAAATGGTGCTTGAATTATTGAATAAAAGCAATATCACTCATGAGGTCGTGCGTGCTGTCATACTGAATATTAGCACGGCTGTGGTTATCTTCAGCAGTCGGCCTGTGGCTTTGTGCCTATGACTGAATCACAGCTGTGCAACAGCACTACCTCACATGTGATATTGCTTAATTCACTTTCAGATGTAAATGTCAGTGAAAATTGCTACACTCACATGCTGATGCATGATGTGTTACCACCGAATGATCATGTAAAATATATGCCGTTAAACAGACAGTGTTCTCAACAGTTCACAGTCAGCTGAGGGATTTATTAGTAGTTTAGCTTTTGACATCATGCTAAAATCACACATCTACAGTAACACAGTCCTGTAGTTAGTATTCCTTGGTCCGGTACTTGAGTGGTATGAAAGCAGAGTTAGTTTGGAGCACCTGAAACAGGGTCTGGCCTTGGTTGTTTGGTCTGCACCAGAGTTCTGCTGACAGCTTTAACACCAACCCACAGGACAAACCAACAGACAAACCAAACAGGTAAACACATCAGTTTGTTAGGTGTTAAAGAACCTTTAGTACCTAACATAGGGAAACCTTTTAAAAGCTGGATCCTACACTTCCCATAATGGAACTAATAATAACAATAATAATAACTAGTCCATACCCATTGGTAGCTTTGTCGCCTTCTACCTATGCCAATCCTCAATGCCTATGTGCAGTTTCACATAGATTGACCACGTCAGTGAGTAGAAAAATGTGGGACAGACAGAATGACTGACTGACAGAATGACACACTGACAGTTTCCGTGATTATGTACAGCATACCATACCATGACTTAGTCATACCAAAAATTTGAAAAAAAAAAACCCCAAACATTCGGCCACAGGGGGAGCCACAGCGATCGGTCGCATTTTAGACATTTTTAAGCATTTTTCTGTTGTTATAGCGCCACCCAGTTGCCAATTAGAGTTAAATTTCTCCAGTCACCTTGAGACGTCCTGTTCTACATATCTACCAAACATTCGATTCATGCAGATCGGTCAAACTTCCTAGGAAGAGATCAATTTTAAGTGTTTTTCAAAAAATTCAAAATGGCGGAAAATCTATATGACCGGCAGTTATGGGTTCTTGAGGTGAATTTGTTCCTCATGAGGAGAGGCATCTCTGTGCAATGTTTCATGTCTCTACAACATACGGGGCATGAGATATGCCCATTCAAAGTTTGCAATTTCAATCGGTTGCTATAGCGCCCCTCTTTGGCCAATTGATGTAATATTGCTTCATTCGCATCCTCCCATGACCCTCTACCACTGTGCCAAATTTCACATGGATTTACCAAGTCAGTGAGGAGAAAAACGTGGAACAGACATACACACACAGTTTTCGTCATTATATAAGATACATTTTATTTATAGAGCATTTTTCACGTTACTCAAAGACACTCTACATTAGTTAAAAACTATCATAAAATAGAATACAAGAAAATACACACGACATTAACTAATAGCATATTTTAGTTAGACCCTCTCTTTTAAACTCCATTTAGCAGGTTTTCTTTTCTATATTCTCTTAGCCCAAACTGTGATAACCCTGATCTTCAGAGTGTTGCAGCTTATTTTCTCAAACTTGACTTAAAGACATCCAGCCCAAACAGGCCTGATCCATCATAAACACTATGACAAAAAGCTTAGCAAACCTTTTCATTTTAAGGAGATAAAAATACCAGCAAGTGAACAAAAGTGTTCTTGGAATGTGAGATTTTCAATGACCATTGTAGCAGCACACCAGCACACGCTAGCCTAGTGTTATATTTTAAATATGCATATCAGCACTGGCTGGTAGAAAGCTTCATTTGTCTTTCACCCTTTTAAAACAACATGGGTTGTTTAAAGATTACCTTGTTCTCACAAGATCTCATCCAGCTGGTGTGAGTTCTTAATCCTAAATGATATTTGCAGTGCCAAGCATCTGAATAGTTCATAAAGACAGGATCCATAATTCCTCTAATTTTGTGGAATGACTTCACCAGTGTACTGTAAATCCTGTTTCCTTACTTTACTCTTCGTCTCTGTCTCTCAAGCTCAGTATCCCCTGTGGAGTCTTGAGACAGGATCATTCCTCTTGATAGAAAGTAGGAGAAGGATTAGTGGAACCTCAGTACGCATATTAAATCAACTTCAACTTGATCCGCTCTCACTCTGTTGCTCATTTTCTTCTCCTTTGTTCCTCTTATTTTTCCTTCCTCTCTTCCAGGTGCTCTCTGTGTGGCTATGTGTGCAGTCATCCCCCGTCACTCAAATCCCACATGTGGAAGCACGCTGGAGACCAGAACTACAACTACGAGCAAGTTAACAAAGCCATTAATGAGGCCATCTCCCAGAGCAGCCGGTAAACGCATTAACTCATGTACAGGGGAATCTGTACTTTAAGTTTCATTCAGGTTTCATTACTATGTTTGCAGATATCCGCAGTACATCCACTGGCAGTAAACCATAGGTCCTGGAAAAAGCTTTGTAATTTATATTCTCTAATTATAAGGGCTTTAAAGTTTGAGTACAACTAAAGCTGCAATTTGCAATAATTTCACTTTCACACAAAGCTGGGGTAGGCAGAAATCTGGAAAAGGGGAAAAATGTATTTGAAAAAAACACCCTCTTCCTGCAGCTCTGCCCTCTGCTCTCTGTCCTCGGCCCCTCCCACCAGACGACCATGGGCACATGCTTCTTTCAGTACACCAGTGCTTCCCATACATTGACTTATTTAATCTTATTTTGCCATAGAGTTGCCAGTAGCACATTCTCTCAGCTTCTCCTTGCCCCGCTCTCTCTGTTTATCAGACTACAAATGAGACACAAATTAGCCAGCTCACAATAGCCACCCCACAGTCTCTTCGCCTCGCTCCCTGCTGCTGTGGACTGCCACGCCAAGAGGAGATTGGACAGCAGCTCTGGAACTTCAGTGGGCAGCTGCAGAGGCTTGAATTGAGCCAGCACAAACCCACCCTGCACTGGGTGTCACTGTGGGCTGGTGGCCAGCAGCAGCACTGGGACTAAACTGTCAGCTGATCCAGTGGGGAGTCTGAGCTGTCTGGTCCCCCAGAGCTGGGGTTTGCGCTGGCTGGATTTGTTTTGCTGCAGTCGCTGACTGTTGGTCAGTCTCCAGAGCTTCTGCCTGTGCTCCTCTCAGCAGGGTGGTAGTGGCGGGAAGCAAGGCACATCACACACTGATTCAGTGTTAGCTAAATAAATGTCAACATGAAGCTGCAGCCATGAGCCTTTGGCTTCAGTTAGCAGAAAATGAAACTATTAGTAACATTTTGTCTTCATCTCTGAAACACCTAGGTGATATTGACATGTTTTCAGACTCTCTTTTTGATAAGTCAGTCTTTCTTTTTTGAGTTGCTTTGCAGTGAAGGCAGTTGTTTTCAATACCCGAATAGCAATGCTACTGCAGGATTCTTCACCTTCTGAATCAGGCTTTAACCGAAGGGGCGTGCATCTGCAGTTTAAGAACAGCCAGTAGGAATGCCCTCTCTCTGAATTGTGCTGTGATTGGTCAAAGCCTCCTGTCACAGGCTAGATTTTCTAAAGCCTGAAAACAAAGCCTAGAGGAGGTGCGGAAGTCTAATGTTTTCTCAGTCTATTTGAAATACAATATGCTCAAAGGTTATTATAGGATTTTTGCCCAATGACAACAAAATGAAACTGCCTGCCTCAGCTAAAAGTTGTAATGTTTGGTACAGTAATAGCCCGAACCTTTAAGGCCACCATTTGTAGCCTGCGGTGTTGGAGTTTGCTTAGTGCAGCTTGAAGTATTTTATACCAGTCATACAGGTCCATAAATATTCCTAATTTGTGTGCCCTTTCAATCAGTTCATCAAATAGTTGTATTTTTGTGACTCTTGGCAGTAACAAATTCTAAAACAACCTTAAATAATTTATTGCATTCAGATTATTTGAATGCCCTAATGTTGTTGTCTCTATTAATGTCATGCTTTCTTTTAACTCTTAAGATAATTTGATACTAAAGATAAAACTTAAGCAGCTAGTGCTCCAGTTTGTGGTTTTCTGGCAAAAAGACATTCAGCAAAGGTTGAATTTACACAACTTCTTATTTCACTGTACTCACTGTTCGTTTTTTGAAAACTACAGTGTTACACCAATAACTGCCAGCTGTCTTACAAACACACACTGCATCATAGGGATTATAGATTATGGGCAGCAAGTAACTTCATACATCTATCATCCAGCACATGTCAAAAACTAAAAATAGTCCACAGGCAATTAGAAGTTTACCTCAGTGGGCCAGCAGAATGAGAACTTAATCTTGCTCCCTCTGTCGTTGTATTCTTTGTTGGTGATTCCATCCTTTGTTTTTTTCAGAGCCCCTCAGAAGTTGTCGGCGGTGCTGGAGTCAGTGGCAGAGCGCCCTGCAGTGGCCCAGCCCTCAAAGGACAAGGCAAAGGGCCCAGTGGAACCACTGCCAACACCCACATCAGTGACGACGACAACAACAACAACAACAACAGCAGCAGCTGGCCTGGCTGTGGACAGCTCAGCAGGCCTGCCCACCACAGACCCTTCACAGTGGCCTGGTGAATCCCCAAGCCCCCAGGGGAAGGACCCTGCACAGCTCCAGTCTCAGTCCCAGAGCCAGCCACGCACAGGCCAGGCCCCCCTCCCGGGCCCCGGCATGGAATACTGCGTGCTTTTGTTCTGCTGCTGTATCTGTGGCTTTGAGTCAACCAGTAAAGAGCGGCTGATGGAGCACATGAAGGAGCACGAGGGAGACATCATTAGCATCATCCTCAACAAGGAGCAGCAGCAACCAGAAGCACAAGCAGGCCTCCAAACTGCAGAGTGAGAGCTGCCCTCCCCTCCCTCTCTTTATATTAACACTGACGCTGCACTCTTACAACCATCTGCTGCCCACAAAAGTATTTCATTATGTTTCTTTACCTCAAGGTGGTCACGGTGGATATCAAGGTGTAAACATTTCACATCTACTGTACTATAGTAGTTAATTGTCATTTCTCAGAATGTTCTCTGGTCAGGTTGGTTGTGCTATCGAAGAGTTCCAACTGTCACTGCTGTCCAACGCAGACGCCTTGAACAGGTGTCAAGGGAAATTGTGAAATTATTTTCTGAGTGGCATATCCTTTGAAAGGAATGTTAAAAAAACTTGTAACATTAAAATAATGTTAGAACCCATTTTTGTCAAACAACTTGACATTAAAGAGACACAAAATGTGTCTGTAGGGAAGCAATTGTAATTCTAAGGGACAAACCCGAGCTCTAATCCAAGTTTATTTTTCAATATACAGGGACATGTTCATACCTCACAAAACCAAACAATCCCTCACCAGAAATGGAAAAAAAAGATTCACATATTTTCCAGTCTAATTCATGTATTGACCGTAAGGCAGCTCTTTTATTGCTACTGTAATATTTAATGTATTTGATCCGACACCGTTGAGGCTCTAGCCTAGTTAAGGAGGTACGTGTTCAAACTCACCAATGCCTAAAGGCATGCATCACAGCTTGAATATGATTTCATATTTATCAGTTTATTTTTATGCATGTTTCTTTTCTGCCAATTTAAAGAGGCAAATGTTAATTATTATTTGCATTTTTGTATGTATGAGTGACTGTAATTTTACCTGTTGGATCGTTTATAAGGAAAAGCAGTGTCATTAGAGGAGAAAGTCAGAGTTCTCAAAGGAAGAGCGGAAGTTGACCAGAGTTTGATGATTGTAGTCTACCAGTGATGCGACTATTGGGTTTAAGGCATGTTGACTAAAAAGGAATGATCAAAAGGGAAGTTAGCTTAGGTAGGGCTGTTATTGTAATCAAATGGTGCCTAGATATTTGAAAGCAGGAATATGTATTGAATCAGACACACCTGTTTTCACCTGTGATTGTGGTGCTAGGCTCACTTTAAGCGTTGTCATTGAAGGTGTAGTCTTTTTTTTTTTTAGCCCATGCAATTTCTGTTGTATATAATAACATTTTTATAATAACCTTTGCTCTTTTCTGTCAGTGTTTTTAAAATACAAACTTTTTAGTGTCAAACTTGAAATGGCTGCTGTCCCATCTAACAAACATGACTGAAATAAGAAGACATGGATGTGAAAATAAAGTTTGGAAGGCGACATGTTTTATTGAGGTTTATTGGCGCAGTCCTCCCATGTGCTCTCATGTGATTGACTGGAAGCAGGAGTGTAATATAAGGATAATATCAGCTCTGATCGGGAAACACTCAACTCAGCACAGTGTAATGACGATACCTTGATCAATGAAGGCTTGGTGTTTACCGTGATGGATCGACTCACTGGGTGGAAGTTATTTTTCATGCAGAATGAGCAGCAGCAAATGGCTTTTTCTGAAAGGAGAAAAATTGAACCTTAATATCTCAAATGATACTGACTGTGCTGAAAACACCTGGCTTAATGTGCAGGAAAGGAGTACTGGCACAACTCTTGCTATTTGCTCACCCACATGCGTGTTAGGAACAACCAAAATATGTCTTGCACATAAATGTTGAGTCACGTCAAACTGTGCCATTCGATTGCTATGATTGGTGTCACTGGGAAGCCTTACAGGAGAACATTCATGCTTCTGCCACAATCTTGCCAGAAAAAAACCCTTTTACATCTCATCCAAACATTGAAATTAACAGAAAATTAAACACAGACTGAAGATTATTCTCTGTCAGCATCTCAAGCTGTCTAATGAATCACGCAGTCCTGTCAGGCAGTCATCAGTATGTCATCCACATAGACGGAGGCTGAGGAAATTAAGATAAAATGGAATATCCATAATTCATGGGCCCCCTACTCCACCTGACATAACATCTTGAAATTGTGTCTGCACGTGTGTGTAGCATAGTGGATAAAACCAAATTAAATCTCTATCTCAAAGACCTTGTTACCTGGGATGGAATTCTCATTATCAAAGAGGGGAATGATTGTCTGGCTTTTAATTTACAATGCTGCATGGCAGAATTAGGGAAGTTTGTGACATGTCTATACTTTAAAGGATAAAATAAAAGTGGGACTTGAGTGCTCCACCCGTCTGATAAACCTGGCATGCATGTGAACGAGCAGTGAGAGTTAAAGGCTGGACAGACACACCCCAGCTCTCTCCTCTCTGTCATGTGGGGATCCTCTATTAAACTTGAATGGCCTGCTGGTCCCACTGACCTGCTATACTTAACTTAGTTGTGAGCACACAGTTCTCTTTTGCAATGAGGAATTATTAGCAATATTTCAGGTGCAATCAGTTTTGGTTTTACTTTGGTAAAAAAATAAAGTGGTTAAGATAATCTGGCTAAACTGTTGGGTTATGTGTAACTGGTATGATTGTGTTCCATGCCCTGCAGTGCTTTGCTGAGGCAATTTCGTCATGTTCTGAAATCTTAGCAATTAAATGGTTTGCCACATATTTTTGTTAAGTGTCAGCAAATTCCATTAAAAGACCAAAACCAGCAGCACATTACTGCAGTGATACTCAACTTACAACCTGTGGGCTGCATTTGGCTCATGATGGGATGCCACGTGGCCCGCTAACCATTTTCTTATTCACAATGAAAATAAATTGATTCATAGTGAGAATGTAAATGAGGCGCCAGAGTTAATTTAAAAAATAGTGCAAGGAGAGGATCCCCCTGACCCTCCGACAGAGTTCTGAGCTAAAACCTGAATGTCCTCAAATCCTAAAAACACCCCTGCTTACACCTGACCTGTTCGGGGCAGCTGCGACTGGGTTTGCCTCTTGGCAAAGATGAGTGAGGAAGGCCAGTGTCAAGGTTGAAAACAGACAGTTCATCAATTATATATCCAGACATGGAAAAAATGAACAAGCGGTCATGTCGCATCAACTTTTATACTGACTACAACATTTCAAGTAAAGTGAAATAATTTCAGATATCTTTTAGTAACCTAACAAATAAAGACAATAAAACTACTTGTACTGCAAGTTTAAGCTCACAGCTGGCAAATAACATCTTGGGTCATTCCCCTGGTGGCAACTGCATATAGGTCAAGTGGGATTTTGCATGTAGTGATATTTTCCATTTAGTGTCACAAATTGCTAAAGTTTGTCAACACAGGCTGCAGACACTGCAAGTATGAAAGCAAGTGTCTCTTTACCACTCTGAGAACGTGTGGATTTTCCCTGTTCACACGGTTCCATTTCCCTCAGACTTAATTTGCACCACAGCTACAAAACTTTGTGCCATATTAGCTGTTTTTACAAACAAGAATTGTCTTTTGTTTTAGTTAATTGTGCCTTTTGGTTCAAGGTAATATTTGTGTTGAAACTAGAATTTTTTACCTCTCTGCCACAACGTCAGTCACATGTCTGAATGTGCTAGCCATAGATCTATATTTTGATTTGGGCACACAATACTCAGCCAGCTCTATTAAAGTTGATTATTGTGACAATTTCACTGTCTGACCTCAATATGTTTTCCATAGAGGCAAATCCACGTTTGTTTTATCCAGCAGTTTTAGTGTCACTGAAACAATAAACCAAGTATGTGAAACAGCTCTTTCTTAAATGACTAGCTAATGAGCTCAAACACTTTCCTAATGTATTTAAAGTGTGTACATATTGTAGATGAAAACTGCAGAACCTTAAAACTGACATTTTTAAAAGATATAATCTATTTTTAATGATCTTGTAAAAAAAACAACAAAAAAAAACAATTGAGACAAAAAAAAAGTTTTAGAATAAATTTTGGCTCTGTTCATATTTACTGCTAGTGTATTCAAGGGAACTGACGGTTTTGAGCTAAACACAGCAAACAAAATGAGCTGCGTGTATTTAAAGCAAAGGAGGTGGAGCAGATAACATGTCTGTCCTGATCAGTGTATTTTTGCTTATATTCAATTTTGTAATAAGGTTCAACATGGAATTGCTTCAGACAGCAGTGTGACACTTGCTTCATGTTTATTTATTTTTAGAACATCATAAGCAGTATTATGTCACTACTTTGCCATTGTATTTTTGGTAATAAAGACAGAAATGAATGACTGCTTTTTGTCTCTGGTCATGTTTGTGAGATGATAGAAAGCCTTAGAAAGTTTAGAAACTGAAGTCAGAATATTTCAAGATAAATTGAAGAAAAAGAGATATAGAGAAATAACATTATTGATATTTTGACACATAGAAGAAATTTGACCCCAGTTCTCATAACACTAAATGTACCTATACAGTGTAGAGAACACATTTAAAGATACAGATATAGAAATAGAGTTAAACACAGATCAAATATGCAAACACAAATATAATATAGTATAATTGATATAAACCGACAAGAGCTAGATATCAAACACCAGCAAGATTGTTATATACAGGGTTGTGGCACAGTATTAAATAAGTATTGCATAAAAAATAAGTTATTCTATCTGTAAAGGTGGTTTCATGCATATATTGGTGGGCTGAATATATATATATAATGTATAGAACAAAAATATTAGTACTACAGGGGTATTACGTGGGAATAGTTTTAATCAGCCTATAACTGATTCAATTTGGTAAGTATGAAGCTGTGTTCAAAGAAACTTTTGTCATACACTGAGATACGATATTGAACAATGGCCAGAAAAATGTTTTATGCACAGGGAAGCTAAACTTTGACCTTTTGGATATAATATGCCATCGCTTCATTATTTTATACTAGATATTTGTGTGAAGTTTTGTCATAATTAGCATATCAATTCTTAAGTTATGGCCAAAAACATATTTTGTGAAGTCACACTGACCTTGACCACTGACCATAAAATTCTTATCAGTTTATATTTCAGTCTAAGATGTGAACCGTGTTCACGAGAATGAGACAGATGGTCATGGTGGCCTTGATCTTTGACCTCGGAGCACCAAAATCGAATCAGTTCATTGTTGAGTTCAAGTGAACATTTTTGCCACATTTGAAGAAGTCCCCTATGGTGTTCTTGAGATATCACATTAACGAGAATGAGACAGACAAGGTCACAGTGGCCTTGACCTTTGACCCATGACCACCAAAAACTACTCAGTTCATTGTTGAGTCCAAGTGGATCTTTGTGCCACATTTGAAGAAATTCCCTTTAAGTGTTTTTGAGATATCGTGTTCACAAGGATGGGATGGAGTGACGGAGAGAGAGACATTACGTATGGATGGACAACTCGTAAACATAATCCTTCTGGCCACAGCTATCATCAGTGCAGGCGCATAAAAACACCTAATTATCTTCTTACCTGTAGGATGCCAAGTGTTGGAGATATGGGATGTAGAGATGTTCTCTTGAACATAATGGAACTAGACATCACTCAGTAGCAACGTGTCTTTACAGAAATCATGACCAGGTTACTTAAGATATTCAGCAAACCTTGCTGTGAGAAGTTTCATGTAGGAACTATTTTCTTTCTACTGAAATACACCCACCAACTGTATCACCATGCAGAAGGAAGCTTGTGTCTTCTGCTAGCTGGCCTCTCACCACTGAGCCAGCTAACATTACAACCAAGCAGAGGCAGATGCCATTAATATTTACATCTCACACTGTCACACTGTCAGCATATGTATATATACATATATATATTGTAAACTGAACAAGATTATTTACACAAACAGAATATATACAGTCAGGGTGAATGGGGTTATTGCACAAGTTAAATTAAATTATTGCAGTGTGTGAAAAAGTCTCAGGGCCACTCAGAGGGAGGAGTTGTACAGTTTGATGGCCACAGGCAGGAATGATTTCCTGTGGCGCTCAGTGGTACATCTTGGTGGTATGAGTCTCCCACTGAAAGTACTCTTGTGCCTGACCAGCACATGGTGGAGTGGGTGTGAGACATTGTCCAAGACAGTTCGTAGCTTAGACAGCATCCTCCTCTCTGACACCACCATCAGAGAGTCACACTCCATTCCCACAACGTCACTGTCCTTGCAGATCAGTTTGTTGAGTCTGTTGGCGTCCGCCACCCTCAGCCTGCTGCCCCAGCACACAACAGCATAGAGGATAGCACTGGCCACCACAGACTCATAGAAAATCCTGAGCATAGTCCGGCAGATGTTGAAGGACCTCAGTCGCCTCAGAAAATAGAGACGGCTCTGGCCCTTCCTGTAGAGAGTGTTAGTGTTCTTAGCCCAGTCCAGTTTATTGTCAATGTGTACCCCCAGGTACTTATAGTCCTCTACAATGTCCACATTGACCCCTTGGATGGAAACAGGGGTCACCGGTGTCTTGGTCCTCCTCAGATCCACAGCCAGTTCCTTTGTCTTTGCCACTTTGAGCTGCAGATGGTTCTGCTCACACCATGTGACAAAGTTATCCACAACAGCCCTGTACTCATCCTCATCACCCTTGCTGATACATCCAACTATAGCAGAGTCATCAGAAAACTTCTGAAGATGACAAGACTCTGTCTGGTAGCTGAAGTCCGTGGTGTAGAGGGTGAAGAGGAAGGGAGAGAGGACAGTCCCCTGCGGGGCCCCGGTATTGCTGACCACTCTGTCTGACACACAGCGTTGCAAGCGCACATACTGTGGTCTGCCAGTCAAGTAGTCTACAATCCAGGACACCAGGGGGGCATCCTCCTGCATTGCTGTCAGCTTGTCACCCAGTAGAGCCGGACGGATGGTGTTGAATGCACTAGAGAAGTCAAAAAACATGACCCTCACAGTGTTCGCCGGCTTATCCAAATGGGTGTAGACACAGTTGAGCAGGTAGATGATGGCGTCCTCAACTCCAAGTCGGGGCTGATAGGCGAACTGGAGGGGGTCCAAATGTGAAGAGGAAGGTCTGCTTAACATCATTTGAATTATTTTCCCTATGTGTCCAACAAATTGAAATAAATGTTAACCTTGCAAACAGCCTTGCATAACAGTGTAATGAGGTATTCTTTGGACTATTTTAAAATGTTTTCAAGTGAAATAGCATGGCCTTGTTAAAAGACAGAACTTAACACCCACTCTTGCATTAATGGTGTTTAAAGAGATAGCAAAGAGAGGAATGTTTTATTTTCCCATACTGTAATTATACAGGACAGTTTTATAACATTATTCTTTGAGCAGTCTGGAGCACATTACACTATGTCTTTTATCTGTTTCAGCTGCTTTCAGCACTTACACATAAATAACAGGATGATAAATATTACAATAATGTGTTATCATTATTACATTCTGCACAACATTGAGGCCCTATGGGACCACAATCATGCACAGTAGAATTAGCACCATGTAACTTGGCTGTTGAACACTCAAGCTAAATATTATTATAAGTAATAGTCCAAAAGTATAGTCAGTCATTGTTGGGTGGTAACCAACATCTCGGAACAACAATTTTAGCAGCTGTTGAAGCTATGAACAGAATTCTCTTTTCTTTGTATCTGAGGTGAACAGCAAGGCTAGGAACAAGGAAAATCAAGGCAGGACAGAAAGGGGGCAGACTGTAGCTCCTTTTATATTGCCTGTTCAAGGTGGGAATATAGTACCATTATGCTGCCTTGCTGTTCAGTATAAAAGGTACAACTGCAAAATGGGAGGACAGAGTTGTCTAGTCTTTAAATCAGCAAGAGGTAATAACAGCCTTGATTTGGCGTCTGTGTAAAAGGGACAGCCGGCAGGATGAAACCATGGGCAGGGCGTGTGTTTTTCTTATACTGTGTTCTGATGACATGTTAACATGTTATGCTTGCAGCCCACCGCAGGATATTTAAAAAAAAACAGCTAGCAGCAGTTAGTGGCTAACCCAAACAAAAAGAACGCAAATTGGGAAAACAGTGAGGCCAGGGAGCTCCTTACCCTCTGCGCAGAGGAGATCAGCCGCCATATAATAGAGATGGTAAATGATTGTTATTGTCATGTTATGCCATTGTTATTGTTTAGAAAGCGAAGCCGATGCATATTTTATACGTCACACCACACCTCTCTTGCTTCCGCAATAATAACAGCAGAACAACAGGACACAGGACACCTAGTGGAATGGATGGGTTGTCACAACAACTTTGGACACAAAGTCCAAATGGGCTGCGACCATCAGGGCGCAGATATAATCTCCCCCAATGCAGAACAAATCGATTCAAAAAATTTGGTTTGGGGGGTGGGCGGGGGTCTGCGTTGGGCGGTGGGTGGGCGGGCCTTCCTGCCCCGCCCATCTGGGGTGTGTCTCTGGCTCTCTGGGGGGGCTGGCCATTGCCACCCCGGCTCCTTGGGCCCACGTGGTGTCCTGGAGCCTCTGCGGCTCCCTGGGCGTCGGGTCTGGGCACTCCTGCGGCCTTGGGGTGTCTTGCCGCCCGCCTTACCCCGCGGGGCTGGGACATTGGCCCTGGACCCTGGTGATGGTTTTCATAAACACACTGGGAGGGTTCAAATACATGCATGCATGTTTGATACTTCAGCTCCGTGACGCATCGCAAAGAACCGATGGGATCACTCAAAAGGGGCTCAGTTGCTTCTCAAACCTACCACACTGTGCTGGCAACTCTTCTCCACAATCGGGCTTTCCTCCACCACCAGGACTCATTTCCGGTGTTCAGTATAGACTTCTCTCTCTCTCTCTTTCTCTCTCTCTTTTTTTTCCCCTTTATTATACATTTATTTGTTTATTTTTGGTAATCTGTATGGAGCACAACAAACTCAGGACTTAAGCACCTGTCCCTCAATCCCCCCTGCTTGTCCCTTACTTTCCCCTTGACACACTACGGTGTATCACGGCCCTCTCTGGCTCATATTAGGAAGTTTTTCCAATAAAGGCTGATAGGCTAGTCTCCAGGGAGGGTGGGTGACGGTCACAACCACGCACAGTATGGGTATAAAATACTTGACTGCAAGATTAACAGTGCATCAGTCTTCATAAAAAGCTTACACCCTTTTGTGGCGCTAAGCTACGAAGACTAATGCAGACAGGTTGAAGAAAAAAAAAAAGAGTGCGATTTGCCACTCCGAAAGTGTGGTGCTCTGTATAACCAAACAGTACATTCCAACAGCACTCAATATACGAACCATTCAGTCCACTCGGAATGAGTATTTCTGAACGCATCACTTGTAT